TGAAACTCACATGCTTCTCGGAGGTACTTGCTTCCTTCATCGCTTAGCAATCCGCTATTTCATGATTAGTGATAGAACACCAATCACAAGACATCAACGCTTTCTTTCCTTGTTTCTTGTCCTCAATGATCACCTCAATCAACTTGTCAAGCTTAGCTTCAAGTGGAGCACTTGCTCCCACACTTCGCACTCCTCTTTCGGTTCTTCTCTTATCACTTCTCGTCAAACCCCAATCGTATCCCTTGAGAGCCATGTCTTCAAGCCACTCGGTCGCCTGAGGTGGAGTCATGTTTATCAACTTCCCTTGGCAAAGAGAGTCGATGAGAATCTTGTCATCTTGAATGAGACCGCCATAGAAGGTCTCCATCCGAAATTGCTCCTCGAATCCATGGTGAGGTCATTGGAGGAAGTCATCTGAGAATCTTTCCCATGCATCCCTCAACGTCTCATCTTCCTCTTGCTCGAAGTGGGTAATCTTCTTTCTCCACTCAGCCGTCTTGGAAGGAGGACTATATCGGGTCATAAATTTGTTGATCAAATCATCCCACAAGGTGATCGAGCGAGCCAGTTGGTTGTTGAGCCATCGGAGCGCTTTCCCCGCAAGAGAGTAGGGGAATAGCCTCAGTTGCAATGCCTCCTCGGGGACGCCATTTATCTTCAAACTTCCCGCAAGCTCAAGGAACCTTTGAACATGCTCTCGTTATGATACATTGGCAAGCCCATGAAACAAGGCATTGTTCTGGATCATGGTGATGAGAGCAGACTTGATTTCAAAATTGTTGGCGGCCACGGGTGGGTGTAGGATAGGAGACTGGATATCCGCCGCCCGTGGAGACATTTAATAGCCCATAGTCCTTGGTTCTTCCTAAGCTCATGCTTGCTCATTTTGGTTACCTGCCATCTTGGCTTCCCTCCCATCCTCCTCAGTTTCCAAACCGTCCTCAACTTCAATTTCTACTTCGGAACCAAATTGTGGCTATCCCCTCTCCACTATCCTTCGACTTGCTTCCGCCAGTTCCCTCTCATGAGCCAAGAGTCAGAGGGTGCGGTTGAGATTCCCATCGAGTGGCACCAAAGGTGTCAGATTACTCCGGGTTGTAGACACCACTTTTTGTCCGGGTTGAAACATATTTATTAAAAAAAATAGTTTCGATTGAAGATTTGCAATAGCGAATCTTGAATGACTTTCTACCGAAATCATATATGTAGTGCTTGGGTTGGGTCTTGTTTGCCATAAGTCTATTGAAATTAAGCAATAGCAAATTTCGATTGATGCAATTCATAGTGAGACTTGAGATCTTTTGCTTTGGTTTGACGAATTAGGCAATTTAACATTCGTGCAAGTTGATATTTGGATCGGTTCTTAAAACATTGGGTCTAATGAGATTTGAGACTCAATTTCGTAACAATAAAAATTTAGGAACGTAAATAATTATCTTATTAAAATAAATTACAATTTACCAAATAAAACTACAAATACAATGTTGGTACACACTATAAAAAACAACTATCACATTCATTTACAAATAAGTTCAATAAACAAAAAAAATTAAGTCTAAATGAAAACCTAAATTCAAAGTCAACCCTCAATCAAACCAGTGAACAAAGTCAAACCAGTCAGAGATCAGATCTGACCAAACCCATATCAGTCTAACCTAAATCTGACCGGTCCAATCCGGAACTGGCACTGTTGTAAGCTTGGGGAACAAGTCGCTTTTTTCCTATAAAACTCATCTGATCCTCTATAAAGGGGGACTGATTTTAGAGACCAAACAAAAAAGCAGAGTCCTCTGCATTGACATCTTCTTCTTCATCCTCGGCTCCCTATTATTCGTGAAGTTTTGCTTCTTCTTGTTCTTCCTCTTTCTCCTTACCCTTCAAAATCGCAGACACCAACAGAAGCTCAAAACAAAAAGAAAACAGAGAGGGAAGACAAGAAACGCCAAGACAAAGAAAAGAAAATCATCTTCACTTCTTTTCTTCTTCTTACTTAACACACAAAAAGAACAACAAAATCCAAAAGGAAAAAAAGAAACACACACACCAGCAGCACTAGGAGAAGAAAAGGAGCAAAAGGTTGGAAAGGAAAACTGCTCATCCCTTCCACAAACAGCAAGCCAAAGATTGGTATTATCCAATCCAACCACCATTATTACTCATAATCATCATTTTTATCATCATCTTTATTATTCATACAACTGTCTCATTATAAGTTTCTAATATATCAAACTCAATCAACTTCGAGCAAATGATGAGATGGCAAATCTCACAATAATAGCAAAGCTTAACAAAAAAAATATCATGTATTTTTTCTCTTCAAAAGTTTACTTATATTTTAGTCCATTTCTATTTCAGTTTATCCATTAAGACTTCTGAGTTTAAGCATAACACCAAAAAAAACTAGTTTGTTTCCTTCTTTGCCTTGTCTTAATTGCTTTGCTTTGTTTATCACGATCAATTTCATACTAAGTCAATCCCAGTATAAATATTATAAGCAATATAAACATAGAGTTGGCTATCACACACACACCATTTCTAGTTTACAAATCTTAATCTCAAAACCAGATTCATATCCAAAACCCAAATTTCCAGCATTTAAACCGAGCATCAGCAAATCGAGCATCAATTTCAAACCCACAATATAATATGTCTTCTGGGTTTTAAATCCCTAACCAGCCTAATTCGAGTTTGGGAAAGATATTACCAGAATCCCTCCAAAGCATGAAATCTGCAAAGACAACTCAAACCATTCCATATTCGCTCAAAACCCCAGTTATAAATACAACTTTACAGAATCAAAACCATTAATCTTTCCCAAATCCCCCCAAATATATCCAAGACGAACCGCCCCAATTCCATGATCAATCTCAATCTTAAAACCAAAATATCACCTAACCCGATTCACATGAGTAAACCATGAGAGCTTGCTGTTGAACCTTAATTGCGCCATAATCGTTGAGCCAATGTAGGTTATATGGCTCTGGATGTCGAGTTGTGGTCAGTCCCAACCTGTGAACCACGTCCTGGCTAATAAAGTTAGCACAACTTCCGCCATCGACAATTACGGATAGCAATTGCCCTTCGACACATCAACAAGTCTGAAAAAGGTTCTTGCATTGGTCTAACTCAGGATGGCTCGTAGTTGTTAGTGCCCTTCGATTGACAACAAACAACTTACCCGGTGGTGGAGGAATTTTGGCCTGAATTTCCTCGTCGATCTCATCCTCATCAGAATCACTTATAGTCTTTATCGGGTTTTCCACATCATCCTTAGAATAGTACTCCCCATCTTCTGATGCTCTGAGTACTCCCCGCATTGAAAGAACAAGGTAATTTTATGCTCCCAGCACAAATACATGGAGTCGTTGTTCGTACCCAGAATACAAGGTAATTTTACGTTCCCTTGTCCTGCTTCTGGTGGTGGCAACTCAAAATTACCCTGAATTTGATTCTGTTCAGGCACCTGAATTTCCCCTGCAACATCCCTCGGTTGAACAGGGCAATATCTCAACCTATCAAAATGCTATAGGGAAAAATCAAAGGGCACAAAGTGGCGACTCTCAAAGAATGTGCACAATCATCAACACTCGGCCCTATCGTCTCAACACCACGTTGGAAACCTCTAAATGCTAGTGTTCACGGAATGGTTGTCATCACTAGCTTGCCCGGAGGTCTTAGACACGGTTCAAATTACTGGCAATTGTCTTGAACATGGGGAAAAGGCTTTTTGGGTGGTGGAAAGCACATTATGAGGTCCTACATCTTCACCCTAAAACCGAAGGTTCTATGGTTTCGACTAAGAACCTTCCTTACAAACAATGGCCACTAGCATCGGCCTAAAACCTCGCTCCTCCCTTCCAAACTATCACCCATCATGAACTTCTTTTAAGCGCTCTTCCTCGGTCTACTCTTGCTATCACATTTTGAGTTGGTAGTGAAGGAGTTCTAAAACAATGTGGACGTTTCAATGGCTTGAGTGCCAAGAAACCTCTCCTAGAGCATACCCTTTGTCTTTGATTTCTTGTGGCACTCTCTACTTTATTTACCCCGTTTTATTACCTCTTTTCGTTTCTCTTTCTTTCTACTTTCTTATCCTTTCTTTTTTCATTTCTTTTTGATGGGGGTACTAGAGAGAAAAAAAAAACTTGCCACTTGTACTTTTAACGATCAATGCTCTCTTTTTAGAACTGACTCCAACACTACTCATCCTTTTACTTTCGTTCATAGCAAGAACCGCACACAATCCTCCTATGTAGATCCTCAATGTAACTAAAAAGATAGAGCTTCAAGACACAAGGATGACACATGTATAGACACAAAGAAAGGATTGGCTATCAAGCACCATTAAGCTCACAAGAACAAAGCTCCTAACATGAGAACGACCCCCAAAGTCACAATGCTCAAAGGGGTTGACTAGTGGATAAATCATTTCGGGACAATCAACATTTGGGCGTGGACTAATTATATGCCTCCATCATACTCACTAGTGACAACTGTGATGTTACTCGCCATGGTAAGAGGGATCTAAGCACACAAGAAGAAAACAATCGGCTCAAAACTCACATGGCTACCTAGTCACCCAACCATCTATTCCAATTCATAAAGCAACATGCATGGCAGTTGTAATCAACAAGTAATCGAGTCAAAACATCCATTCATTTTTGCACACATGAGAACTAAGCCTTTGTACTATCCTAATGCAACTCTCGGTCATCATCATAGGACATACTCGATCACATGCAACAATTCAAGGTTAAAGCCAATAGACACAAAATTCTCCCACAAACCGGCCACTTTGATCAGGCAAATATTGCTTGGAGCCCTCAAATTTTTCAAATTTGGGAAAACATCAAGGCTCCAAGCATCAATCACACTCACAAAATCATAATAATAAACTAGCCCCCCACACTTAATCTCGACATTACCCTCAATGGTGTAAGATAGGTGGTCTTGAGTTCACCTAGGTCCAGCCTTTTGAAAAGCTTATAAGGCATCACATTGACACTTGCTCCTAAATCCGCCAAGGCATTTTCTATGTGACGGTTACCAATAGTAAGAGGGATAGTTAAGCTACCTAGGTTGGTCACTTCTTGGGCAATCGGTTGAGGATGAAAGCCGATCACTCCTCGCCTAGAGTCACGTTGGCGAGGTCTTCTAACTTAGGTTTCTTGTTGAGGAATCCTTTGATGTACTTTGCATACCTTGGCATGTGTGCCATAGCTTCAAGGAAGGGGATGTTGAGGTGGAGATTTCGGAGCACCTCCATGAAGCCTCCACATTCCGCTTCCAATCTCTCCATGTACACCCTTGTGGGGAAAGGAAGAGGTGGCTTGTACTTAACCACCGGAGATGGCGTCGGCGATGCCTTCCTTGCCACTTCTTTCTCTCCCCTCGAGGGCTCTTCGTCTCCATCCTTGGGGTTGGAGTCTTACCTCTCTCAATCACTCCCTTGGCAAAAACTCCCGGAGTCACCTTCCCACTTCTCAATTGAATCGCATTCACCCCGCATGATACTTGGGGTTTGCCTTTGAGAAGGTAGAACTCTCTTTGGTCTCTCGGCGAGGATCCCGACAAGATTGCCTATTTGCACCTCCAAATTTTGAAGGCTTGATTGATGGCTTCCGAATCCCGCCTCAACCAAGGTAAATTTGGTAGTCGCCACATCCATAAATTTCTCAATCTTCTCTAAATTCTAAGCACTCATGCTCACAAAGGTATTCACAAGGTCTTCAAGTTTGGACAACTTGTCCGGTTGTTGTTGTTGTTGAAACCCTTGACTACCTTGTGCTTGTTAAAGTTGTTGGAAGCTCGAGTTTTGGAATTGAGGCCTTTATTGGATAAAAGATGGACGAGGTTGATAATTGCCCGTAGGACCTTGAAAACCAGGGGGTCTCAGATTAGTCGGGGACGACCAAGCAAAGTTAGGATGATTTCTCCACCCGGGGTTATAAGTATTGCTATAAGGGTTGTTTTCCCTAACATTGGCAACGAAATCTACTTGTTCCTCCGGGGTACTCGACTCCTTCATCGCTTGGCAATCCTCAATTTCATTATTGGTGCTCGAACACTAATCACCAGACATCACCGCTCTCTTCCCTTGTTTCTTGTCCTCAAGGATCACTTCAATCAACTTATAAAGTTTTGCTACAAGAGGATCACTTGCTCCCACACTTCGCACTCCTCTTTCATTGCTTCTATTCCCACCTCTAGTCAAGCCCCAATCGTATCCTTTAAGATCCATATCTTCGAGCAACTAGGTCACTTGAGGTGTGGTCATGTTCATCAACCTCCCTTGGCAAGAGAGTCAATGAGGATCGTGTCTTCATGTATAAGACCACCATAGAAAGTTTCTTTCCGAAATTGCTTCTCGAATCCATGGTGAGGGCATTGAAGGAAATAATCGGAGAATCTTTCCCAAGAATCTCTCAAGGTCTCATCTTCGTCTTGCTCGAAATGGGTGATCTTCTTTCTCCCCCCGGTCGTCTTTGAAGGAGGGCAATAGAGGGTCATGAATTTGTTGAGAAGATCATCCCACGAGGTGATTAAGGGAGGTGACCGGTTGTTGAGCCATCGAAGTGTCGTCCCCGAAAGTGAGTAGGGGAAAAGCCTTAATTGCAAAACTTCCGCCGGCATGCCATTTATCTTCAAAATCCCCGCAAGCTCAAGAAATCTTTGCATATGCTCCCTCGGCAATTCGCTTGTGTGCCTGTGGAACAAAGCATTGTTTTGAATCATTGTCACGAGGGCAGGCTTGATTTTGAAGTTGTTGGCCGCCACGGGTTGGTGTAAGATATGCGATTGAATGTTTGCCGTCCGTGGGTCCATGTAATAACCCATTGTCCTTGGGGATTCCTCCTATGTCGCCTCCTCATTGTGGTTTTGAACTTAGACGGCTCCCTCTATTTGTTGGTTCTCCGCCATCTCAACTCCAATATAAAATTCACCTTCAACTCCTTTAACTTTTACTCCACTAACTGCGGGACACAATTGTTGTCCCCTTTCTTCACTTCTCCTCCTTGCTTCCGCTAACTCCCTCTCCCAAGCTAGGAGTCAGAGAGTCATGTTGATGTTCTCGTCAAGTGGTACCAAAGGTGCCGAATTGCTTCGGGTCATGCACCGCCCAGCACACACTTAGAAAAAAACACCACGTCTAGCACAAGCAAAACACTCACACAACCAAAGCTGAAAAATAAAAGATAGATTAACACCAAACAACTTTTTCAAGATAACGGACCATTGTTCCCCGACAATGGCGCCAAAAACTTGACTCGTCCCGAATATCACAACAAAATCCCACCTAAGGCCCAAGTATAAACCTTAGATGGGTGCAATACAGGGCAAGTATGTTTAAATATCAACCCGGGCCGATCCATGTACCCTACTTCCCGTTGTTTCAAAACATTATCTAGCGGATTGGTTTTTGGTTGAAAACTATAAGGATTGTATTAAAACAAAGCAAAGGTAAATGGTTTGAAAGCTCTGGATGAGAAAAATCACTCGAGTGTTGCCTCCCCCTAACTACTACCATAGCTCGTGGACTCGAATGGGTCATTATGGGCGAGGCAATCGTTAACTACTAGGAAGTGCAACTATGGTCGAAGTCCACACTCACCAATTGTCAAACCAAGGGATACATTATAGGCTACTAGAGTAGCCCTCTTGGTTAAGGCAATTGGGGGTTGACTTACCTTCTCCTTCAAACCGATGGTTGGACGGCTTTATCACGATTAACCTAGTCGTTTAATTCAAGATAGAGGTTTGCCCTACATTAACCAAGGTAGGTGGCTTGAAAAGCCCAAGGAATCCCAACTCAATTGAGCCTCTTTGGAAAGGGGGGTTTCCCCTCTAACCTAGGTTAGAATGGCCAATTAGATTGTCAAGCACAAACATGCACAATCATCATGAAAAGTACCTCAATCATTAAATTAAACAACACTCATAAACAATCATTCAATTCACACAACAACTATATTGCAAATAGTTAGGGTTTCACAACACCCAAGTGAAAAAGGAAACTACTTCATGCTAGAAAGGAAACTACTTCATGCAAGAATTGGGGAGATTCTTCCCAATTGACCACTTGGAGCAAACCCAAGACCCCCTTCTTCTTTGGTTCGTCCTTTCTCTCTCTAAAATATGAAGAAGAAGATGCTTTCTCACACTTGGGCTTCCCTCTCTCTTCCTTTCAACTCACATTATATACTGGGATCGGGCTCAGTTCACGACCTTGAACTCCTCAACGCGTCCGTGAACTCGAAGTGCTGTGTCGAAACGCACCGCTTCACTCACTTGAGTTCACAATTTGCACTCAAAGTTTACGGTCTTGGTGACCGTGAACTCACTCGGCGTTAGTAACATCTGAAACCGCCCTTGACTCTTTCTGGTTCACAGTTTATGGATCCAGTTCACGGCCTTAGGAGACCATGAACTCTAATGGGAAACCGTGAACATGGCCTAAATCACTCTCTTTTCCTGGTCGTTGCTCCTTTTCCTCCAACTTTCGACTCCGGGACTGGTTTCACCTGTTAGATCCAGAAACACACTGAAACACGAGAAACCTAGTGTAAAACCACCCTTTTAGGAGCACAAATGCCATAAACAAACCATTTCACTCCCCCACACTTAGACGTTTGCTTGTCCACAAGCAAACCATTTCACACAAGGTAATATCTCAACCTATCAAAATACTTTGGGGACAAATCAAAGGGCACAAAGTGGCGAATCTCAAATGGCTATTGGCAATTAATACAAGGATCGTTGCAAGCAATACCGACATCCACCAAATACGGGCAAATGAAAAGTTCTCACCTTGTTAATGAATCAATGCAAGTTTCAACAAGATCACTAATCAACCACAACTAACCATGCATAGATTTCAAGTCCAAGGAACAAACGGATGGGAAAGAAAGGTCCTCCCCGGGGTATGATATGGCATGCAAAACAAGAATGAATCACTCACTCTCTTGACTGGTGGGGTCGGGACCTTTTGGTGCAAAGAATGTGCACAATCAATAACACTCGGCCCTATCGTCTCAACACCACTAGAGCTGTCAAAATGTAACCCGACCCGAGTAACCCGCCCGATCAACCCGACTCGCAACCCGCCCGCAACCCGATTTGACTAAAAGTCAATGACCCGTAACCCGCCCGACCCGCAACTCGACCAACCCGCAACCCGACCGACCCGCAACCCGACCAACCCTCAACCCGATCGACCCGCAATCCGACCAAACCGCAACCCGATTAACCCGCAACCCGACTAACCCGAACCCGTAACCCGACCAACCCGCGGCCCAACTATAATAGAAGAAATTCGATGAAGATAAACTATAAGTTGACATTTGAAATCCTAGTTCACTAAAGTCTGATCATTACATCATTAATTATTAACTTAGTATAATAATATACATCATCAACCTATTAACGCATATAACATCATCAAATATTGATTTAGATACATCATCAACCTAATAGTCCACATAAGATTATAAAATATTAGTTTAGCATAATAAGATAATTATAAGATTTAAAATCCAAATATCATGGTCCTATCATAAAAAAGACTAATAATAGTTCACAAAAGTCTGATCATAACAAGAATACATGACTCATAATAGTTCATATTGTCTCAAGACCTCAAATATCAATAAAACATGTCCAAAAAACAAATTGACATTCCAAATGACGATCACTCTAGAAGCTTTACTTCTTCTCCATCATCCCTCGTATCTTCATCATCGTCATCTGTACAATTAATCAGTGAAAAGAAAATAATAAGGAAAAGAGAATAGTTTGTTCAGTACAAATATAACAATTTGTTTTTCCTTACCCATTTGGTATCCTCGTATCCAATTACGAGTTGTCACAACAGCTTCAAGAGTATCAGACAAAATCGAAGTTCTCCATTTTGTTAATATTCTTCCCCCCAAACTAAAAGAAGACTCTGATGCAACTGATGTAATTGGAATAGAAAGTACATCCTTTGCCATTTTAGAGAGGTGAGGAAATCGAAATTGATGGTCCCTCCAATATTGCAAGACATCAAATGGAAGTAGCTTAGAGACTCCATCAATGTCCCCAAATGCAGGTATCAAAGGATCAGCCAAATACAATTGCAACTCAGAACTAGTTGACGTATTGTGGTTGATATTGGATGCATTAAACCCCTACAAACAATAAATATAGATATCATTGATATTAACACATAAGCATGTTCATCATTTTCTTCACAGTTAGCATGTACATGAAACAAAACAAATAATTAACCAAAGACCAAAACACAATAACATAATTCATAAATGTAGCAACAAACAAATACTTACAGCAGTGTAATTGTCCAAGGGAACGCTTGGAGAAGTCATAGACACACCACTTTGAGTAGCTGAAGTGGCCGATTGATTCTTATATTCTTCCAAAAGCATCTCCAAATCATCCACAACATCCTCGAATTTTGAAACATATTCTCCACCCAACTTTTCATAGAAATAATTCACAAAAGCAACCTTATAACGAGGGTCCAAAATAACCCCAAAAGCAAGCACCAAGTTGTAGTCTTTCCAATACTTCAAGAATTTCAACGTCATTGCATTTGCCATAGCACGTATATCATCATCTAGACTTGTACAAAGAAGCCTCAACTCAAGATGAATCCTTCAAACATTCTCAAAAAACAGATTACTAGTCGGGTACTTAGTTCCAGAGAATAACTTTGTGATTTCATCAAAAGGCTTCAAGAATTTTATAAGCACTTCTATCTTCTCCCAATCTTCAGATGATGGACATTCATTATACTCGAAATCCATCCTCTAACCTAGGTTAGAATGGGCAATTAGATTGCTAAGCACAAATATGCACAATCATCATGAAAAATACCTCAATCATTAAATCAAACAACACCCATAAACAATCACTCAATTCACACAACAACAACATGGCAAATAATTAGGATTTCACAACAACCAAGTGAAAAAGGAAACTACTTCATGCTAGAAAGGAGAAGAACACAAAAGAAAGGAGTAGAAATCATCATTGTGATGCCTCCACTCTCTTTTGATCTTGTGTTTATCTTCTCTTGGAGAGATTCTTCTCAATTCACCACTAGGAGCAAACCCTAGCCTCCTTTCTTCTTTGGTTCGTCCTTTCTCTTTCTACAATATGAAGAAAAATGTGCTTTCTTACAGTTGGGCTCCCCCTCTCTCTTCCTTTCATCTCACGTTATATACTGGGATCGGGCTTAGTTCACGGCCGAGAACTCCTCTACGTGTCTGTGAACTAGGAGTGCTGTGTCAAAACGCACTACTTCACACACTTGAGTTCAGGGTTTTCACTCAAAGTTCACGGTCTTGGTGAGCGTGAACTCACTCGTCGTCAGTAACCTCTGAAATCGCCCCCGACGCTTCGCGGTTGATGGTTTGTGGCTTCAGTTCATGGCCTTAGGAGACCGTGAACTCCAATGAGAAACCGTGAACATGGCCTAAATCACTCCCTTTGCCCGGTCTTTGCTCCTTTTCTTCCCTTTCGACTCCAGGGCTGGTTTAACGTGTTAGATACCGAAACACTGAAAATCTAGCGTAAAACCAACCTTTTAAGAGTTCAAATGTCACAAAACGTCAAATGGAAGCGGGGGTAAAATGTGTACAATTAGGCCCGAATCAATCTACTCCGTATTAAAAAAATTAAAATATTCAAAAGACGTATTTACCTGGTTCCACCAAGGCTTATGAAACTCATCACAATAAAACAGTAAAGAGTGCTAAAGCTGGTGCTCGTTTGTATATGCTCTAATCCACCTTGTAAGCAAATTTACACATCTAAGAACTTTATAAAGCATAGATGCTAAGCATGCGAGAGTTTCCTAAACACTTACTTAATCAATAATAAATTTAAAATTAAATTAAAATTACATACTTGGAATAAATCTAAATCATACTTATCTAAATTAAATAAATTGCTATTGGAATAACTCTAAATTAAGTTTACATGCATACTTGGAATAAATCTAAATCTTAATTAAATTGCATACTTGGAATAAATGTAAATCTAAATTAAATTTCATACTTGTAATAAATCTAAATTAGAATTAAACTTACTTGACACCATAGGGGGGATTTGCTACATCTCGTAGCTCCTCATTGGCAACTAGAATTCTCGTGGGTCTTAAGGTGCGAACATCGGAAGATGCTCCCTTGCCCAAGGATGGAGAATGAACATCGCACCACCAGCTTGTTTCGCTCCTAACCTCGAGCAAGTACATAGCTCCTGGTAGACCACAACTAACACGGTTGACACCCAACTCTTTTTCCCGATCTCGTCCCAGTCACCTAGGAGCAACAACAGCCACATGCCTTAAATCCACCGGTTTGCCTTGTTGGGGAACAGAAATCCACCAACCAATCTAATGAGGTAGACGCGTGCACACCGCTCCACTTGATCTTCGGGGGTGTCCGGGTTGATAGCTCCCTAATTGTTGATGGTCACCACTAGCCACATGATCGATACTTGCCCCGCATTCATCGGTGGATTCCCATGTCCTTGGACATTAGTTTGTGCTGGCATGTTGCCCCAAATTCTCGAGAATCAACAGCCCCCACCTTTGTTAGGGTTTTCCCGAGTGGCTAATGATGGCATCTCTAGTGACTGGCAACCCAGGGAGGATGGCAACATCTTTGAGGGTGATCGTCATCTCCCCCACGAGAAAGTGGAAAGTAGGTATGGCGTTCAGTTTGAAAGACGTTGTTCAAGATGCTATACTGAAGAAGCCATGTGGTGCAATTTCGAGTGGAAGGTAAAATATTCTGACACCAAACAACTACATGTCATATGCAAGAATGCTAGAGAGGCTTGTATGTGGAAAATGCGTGCTACAATTATGAAGAGAAAGAGTCATGGGTCATTCGTAAAGTAGAGAACAACCACAACTTCTCCTCATCCATACTTTCCCAGGATCAACGCCAACTTAAAGCAAAGAAAGTGGCAAGAACCATTAAGAACTTGATCGAGGCACAACCAGATATCAAGATCAAAGCTTTCATGGTTGAGGTGAAAGATCGACATTCCTACACGATCAGGTACAAGAAGGCATGGCATGGAAAGCAGAAGGCCATGCCTGAGGTGTATGGTGATTGGGACAACTCGTATGCTTTACTCCCTACACTAATGACCACAATGGAGGAGTCCAACCCTGGGACTAGACCTGGCAATCGGGTCGGGTTGGGTAATTTCGAGTTGGGGACTTCGGTTACGGGTCGGGTCATGTTTGGTTGGCTAATTTTGGGTCAAATATTGACACAACCCATTCGATTTCGGGTCGGGTTACAGGTCATTTCGGGTTACGAGCGTTCTCAGAAACAATATCAAACATGCTTCATATTTTCATAAAGAACACAAATTTTCACATATGCATGATAATAGTTTACCAAACACATATCAATTAACATATTCTCAAATCCTCCCACGCTAATGAAATAAAACACAAATTGCGTAAATCGTCAAAAAACAATCACAAGAGTAATATTACTACAAGAAACACATGATATTTGATTATCCTTAAACTCCAAACATGTCATTCAAATCCTTGTGATTTTTTTTAAACATCTCACCAATTTATGAGTGATCTTATCATATTTTGGGAGTGATATATAAAATGGAACGGGTCTAACGGGTCGACGCGCGAACCCATCCGACCCTACCCAAAAAATCACGGGTTATCAGGTTCAGGTCAATCTAGTTTCGGGTTACAAAAATTTCTAGTTTTCGAACTGTTTCGGGTCGGGTCAACGGGTCCATTTGTAATTTGCCAGGTCTACCTGGGACTGTTTTCGTGCCTTGGTACAACAATGTACAAACTGAAGATCAAGTACGAGTACAGAATGAGTTGATGTTTCACCGTCTATTTTGGGCATTCAAGCCATGCATTGACAGGTTTTTCGTTTGCATTCCAGTGATCCAGGTATATTATGGACTAAGATTTTTTATACTAGTTCAATTTTTAACAAAGTAATATTTATACGAATTAAAATTATTCTCAACAGGTTGATGGAACTTTCCTTACTGGAAAGTATAGAGGAACTCTTCTCATTACCACAGGTGTTGATAGAAATTTAAGTATTTCCCCCCTGCATTTGCATTATTTGAAGGGGAAAACAACTTAAGTTGGACATGGTTCTTTGAACAGCTTCACGACCACGTCACACAGTGGCAGGGTATTACTATTATATTTGATCGACATGCCAGGATTAGGAACGTCGTGGGTGTTTTTCCCGACGAATGTGGATGGACATGGCGCTGGTGTATTCGACACTTTCTTGCCAATTTCCCGCACAAATTTGGGAAGAAAAAAGACCTAAGAGATCAATTGTGGAGTGCAGGTACTAATGTAATTTTGTGCGAGTTCATGGGATACTGTTTATGTGAATTTACACTAGTCTTAACCGTCAATCTGTTACTCTACACCTAGAAAGTCGCACCGGGGAGTGTACATGCCAAAAGTATCAAAACACAAGAATACCTTGTTCACATGCAATGTCAGTAGCTAAGTCAATAACCATCAGCCCTTACAGTCTGGTGAGTCCTTACTTCATCGAACAGGCGACCAGGAACTCATACTCGTCCAGATTCAGCCCACTGCCAGATGAACCTTATTGGCTTGTAGACAATGGAAAGTTGATTATCCCACTGTTGCACTTAAGGCGCACCAAGGGTCGTCCTAGGACCGAAAGGATTCACAATGAGATGGATCAATCACAACGTGTCTGGCGAGGTCCAAAGCGTTTCTCCAAGTGCAGATAATCGGGACATGACAAGAGGTGTTGCCCAGGTCCACCTCTCCATCAAGATTCCGGCACAAATCCGGACCAACCTTGAGGATGTTGTTTTTAATTTTTCATTTAGTTGTAATAATGTTTAGGTTGGACATCTACTATTAATTGAGTGTGAGTAATGATGATGGATTTGTTGTCTATCTTGTGATAACATGGGTGAGCTATACTTCAATGGAAAAAACAAGACCAAACTACATTAAGATGACATGGATAGTTCAATGGATAGAACAAGACCAAATTACATTAAGACGATATGGATAGTTCTTGGAAAAAACAAGACCAAAACTACATTAAGACGACATGGATAGTTCTTGAAAAAAACAAGACCAAACTAAATTAAGACAACATGGATAGTTCTTGGAAAAAACAAAACCCAACTAAATTGAGACGACATGGATAGTTAGAGGAAAAAACAAGACCAAACTAAATGAAGACGACATGGATAGCTCATGGAAAAAACAATACCCAACTACATAACATGGATCATTCACTGGTTGCCTTCATTTTTTTCCCCTTTTCCACCTATTCCTCGTCCTCCACGACGTCCTCGACCCCTTCTTCCGCCTTCTCTACCTCTTCCTTCTTGGTGGGCCTATTGTACAGCTGCTCGTGGATTCTTCTTAACCCGACCCCCCATCGGAGTATGCATAGGTGGTGAAGGTGGCTAAGATGAACTAGAAGGGCAGTAGTAGGTCGATGTTGTAGGTTGTTGTTGCGGGCTGATACACCGGAATCTATTGCTGATGCTAGAATTGAGGGAACCCTTGGAGAAACATGTCATGTTCCTGAGACGGGGCATATCTTGACGACCCTCTAGCGCCCTCAGTTGAAGTTGACCACTCGCAATGTGGCCATGGTTCGGGAAGCAATGTTTGTTGACTCGGATGAAGCTCTCCAATGTTTGGTGGTGGCCTTCTTTTCCTCCTCCATGGTTCCTCAGGTGTGGGCCCAATGCGCTCATTATCACTCGGATGAAGCTCTATTCTTCCAAATGTTGATGTAGAACTCATGCTTGCGGATCCAATCCTTTGATTTATGGCGTAGGTCGATGGCATGGAGCTCCTTGAACCCTTGAGGCGGGGATGCTGGAATTGGTTGCTCCAATCTATATTGCCTCAAGGCTCGATCCGGTAGGTGCCACTCCACAACGTGCCAACAGATTAGGGTCACCTTGCACAACCACGTCTCGTGATCCTCGGGGTGTCTAAGACGATGCAGCTCGATCGCCTCATTTGGATATGGGTCCCACGCCACCTACACTCCTTAATAACGTGCAATTAGTACCAACTATATCCACTCCGTATTAAAAATTTAAAATATTCAAAAGACATATTTAGCTGGTTCCACCAGTGACCGGCAACCCGGTGAGGATGGCATCATCTATGAGGGTGATCGTCACTCCCCCTCAGGAAAGTGGAAGGTGTGTGTTTCGGGCCTCCATCGCTATGCCATTGTCATCAGCAGATCGTTGTCGATATCAATCCGCATAAAGTTTCTCAGCATGTCCAGTCCCGTCCTCTCTAGATACGGCGAGAGTCGATCATGCCAAGCGGGCAATTTTGTTGTCCCTCGATGACCGACGGAAATGAGTGATTCCTACAAAATAAATACGAAGTTGTTAGTCAAAGGAAAAGAAAATAAACTTTTAAAATAGCGAATAATTTACAAATGTATATGGTACGAAGTGTATACCGGATTGTTGTGCCAAATCGCTCGGGAGCGATGTGTTTCTTGCTCGGCTAAATACCTCGTTTCCCTTGGGCCAGGATGGATATACGACTGAGGGTCGTATATCTCGGCACACATCTATAAAAAAAAATTGAATGAAATCAGATTATTTCGTACCCATTAAAAAAAATCACGAGAGAAAAAGAAAGTACCTACCCTCAAAGCCTCTTCGTCCATTTTTTGCCAAACTGCAGACTAACGACGTGTATTTTTAATAACTAACGTATTCTGGGATTTTTCCTTAATTTTATTAATTATAAGAATAGAAAATGAAAATTAGACATTGTGTTTGTCAAGGTTTTAACATTATCCCATTGATACATATATAGAGTCACCACTCACCACAATACATCAACCTTTTCGGGCAAAAAGAAGGAAAAATATATGCATCATATTAGGATGCTTATTGCTAGACATCCAAGATAAATAAAATAGATGATATTATAATGGTGCGAAAATGGATTTTTTTTTAGTTTTCTTTCTCCCTTATTCCATCGTCCCAAAACAGCCTACTTCATGTATTGTTTACGAAAAAAATAAAAAAGAAACAATCCAAATAATGCGTTAGTCCTCAACTGTGGTTTTGATTTCAGAAAAAGCTAGGTAGCAGTGGGGTGGGGCGGGCCATGTTGTTCCAGGCAAAGTTGATCCCTTGAGTTGGGTACGAGAATTTGGCATCTTTCTGAAACATCAACATGTTCTGAACAGCCGCCGAGTAGGGATCCAGTACTGCCGCAGCAGCCACTGAAGAAGAGATCTTGTACCGCAGCGGCAGAATGTCGTTCTCCATTCTGAGCCTCTTCATATCCCTGAAATCCTGTGCCGACTGAACTTCCAGGCGGTCTCCTTCCGAGTCCGACTCGTCTTCCTTGGTGTTGGACTCGGACTCGTCGTAGAGAGATGGCAAGGACATGGTAGGGAAGGGCCTAGGCTTGGAAAAAGCAGCTCTGTTCCTGTGCTCCTCCACCATCCTCTCCAGGAACCTCCCCTGAGCTTCGATCTTCAGCTTTAGACTTCTCTGAACCTCAAGATGGTCACTCAGCCTCCTCTCCACTTCCACCTGCACTTGCAGTGCTTCGTTCAGTTGAGCTCCTCTAAATGACAGCACAACAAAGGAGAGATTTCGTTTGTTCGTTAGCGGCTTCTCGAGAAGAAAACTTACAACCAGCTACCTTAGGAATGCTACTTACGAGGTGGCACTGAAATTGGGCAGCATCTCCGAAATGTTCCTTCTCTCCATCCCTCCTGACATGGTTAAGTAGACACGATATGAGTGTCTTCATGATTAAAACAAAACCAGGGAGGGAAATTGTGCAAGTTTCAATGGCACAAATAATCTTACTATTGGGTGTTTCTGGGATAAATTTGGAGATCCTGTATTTCTGGAAAGGTCAAAACCAGCACAATGGGAATAAGGTCACAAAAGAACCGAATAGACAGATGGTAACCATCAACTAAACTGAACCCAACCCACTTACAATCCATCCAACTCTGAACACTTTGACCCATGTGAATTAGGTTGGTGGATAAACGGGTTGGATAGTTGATGGATTTCCGCAACATTACTATTTAGGAGCTGAAAGTTAGACATGGCAATGGATACATCTATTGGTTAATTTGATTCAAATGTATGATCTATATGAGTATTAGGTCGGATTCAAACCGATCCATATGCACTTTTAATAATTTTGGGTATGAGTTGGGTTTGAATTTGGTACTATTTAGGTCAATTCATTTGGTTTATATCCAAATGGGTCTAATTTGGTTTAGATGATAATATACACAAAAAAACAATATCAACCATTCATTAACTACTTTCAACCCAATTGTACACATTTAATGTAGGTATTTCCATCGTACTATTATTTTCATAACAAAAAATCAGACAAAAATTATATTATAATTGGGTACCCATTTACTTTTTGGACTTCCAATATTATGGGTTCAATTTAGACCCAAACTAAAAAGTTGGATATTGGTATGCCCCCCAAAAGCATAATTACCCAAACTTGAATTGACCTATAATAATTGGATTTGTGTAACACTAATACCCAAACTTTTAGACCCAATTGCCATCCCAAATAAAAGTTGGCATCTTTCATTAAACCTATCATATTTATAATCTATTATCGGAAAAAAAAATATTTAGAAAAGTAATATCTTACATTTTACTACCTGAAACTTCTAATAACATGCATACTGATCGGGAAGTTAAATGCAACTTTTATTTTATCTAGTGCTGGAAAAATAGACCGTATTGTTTCAAAAACGCTAGACCAGACAGTTAGGTCTGGATTTGACCGTTAAAAAGGGATTGGTTTGGTTTATGCTCAGAATTATGTGATGTTTTGATCTCTAGGTCTGGTCTTGTCCAAACCACAATTAATCAAACCATACTGTGAATGGAACCCACTTCCCAATTCGTGTTAGCATCTCACTCGACTACTCTCCTCACTCTCCAATGAGACTCAAGTCTCAAACTTAGTTTTGCGAATCTCGTCCCCTGCTTCATTCACAAACCACACTCGGCCAGAAAGCATAGATGATCGCGTCTGTTAATATACGACTTTATCGGAAGTAGGATTGCTTTGACTTTCTTTGTTTCTTATTTACTTGGATTGAGAGTAAAAACTATGCATGATGTAGGAATTTAGGTCTGTTCATTTTTTACGCAACATGGTCTTCCTGATCCGAAGCATATAGGATAACTCTGCATATGAGTAATCCGGACTGCACTATATAGTATTAATCGTATCCTAGTCTGTGTTCCAATCCTTTAGTCTACATCGTAAACCGTATATATTACCAGGTGGACCATAACGAACCCTTTCCCAACCTTTTTCAATCATATATAACGCATGTTTACATTGTGCAACTTTTAGTTTACATCGTCCTATATAGCATTTACAATTTAATACCCAACTCTAGAATTTGAACCATCGACCCTTATATCTGACAGATGACTGAAAAACTTTCAAAACATTGGTCATCTATGAGATTGAGGCTGCTTACCTGCAAGTGGCTCTTGACATGGTAGATGGTTAGCCCAGGAATGCTCATAGCCTTCAGGATCCCTTTCGGAGTAGCCCCTGCAGAGCAATTGCGCAAATATATAAACAACATATCTATATCTGTAGACAAAAACGAGCAATGCAAGTTGGATTGGAAGGAGAGAGCTTATATACTGTCAGGGCCACCGAGCTGGTTAACAGCTTCTTCAAACCGGTCGTGTAGCTCTTGTGTCCACCGCAGTCGCTCTTTCCCAGCGCCATCCGAGCGACTGGAGCCCATTGTCTACACAATCAGGTAGAAGAAGATCCCAACTCAAGTGGCAGTGCTCAAGTGAAATGTAGTAGACAGCCCCAGCTCAAGCACTGCAGAGAAGAACAGAAGCCCCTCTGGTGATGAGAAAGTTATAAAGGAAAGAAGGCAGCCACAAGAGGAAGAGAAAACTGAAACAATCAGGAAACTAGGTAAAGTGACAAGAGAAGGGAGATAGCTGACGTGAAGAACTAAAAGGGAAATATGGTTTCTTATGGAGAGCAGATCCTAGCCAATGTCTCTAGCTGCCGGACAAAATCAATCAAAGTCGTTGCAGAGTCCAACTGAACTTAAATGCCTTGATCCAAGTATTTCTAGGACTCTGAAGAAACTACTTACCATCCCGACATTCGTATTGTACAGCTCATGATCAACTGTCCCCACCTCTCATCTTTGTCTTCTTCCAGAAATGAGGGCTGATTTGCTTTGCGTTCAGCGGTATTTCGTCTGCATCCATATCTAGGAAGATTAGTTCCATCCAGTAGAGACTAGAAACTAGGCAAAGTTTTGCACCAGATGGAGAATAGAGAAGAATGTTTCAGATAAGAGTAGGCCGAAAAACCAAATGTCATTGTAGCACTTCATACATCAGGAGATTAGATTACAATAAGCTGACATTTGAGAAAATGAGGATTACATATGAAAATAAATGAAAAGGCATTTTTATAACAATGCATTACAGCTAGTGTAAATGATACTCGGACTAAATTGACTACAGTCTGGTGTGCCAGTAAGAAGGGCCATGTATTAAAGGGGGTTAAGGCCTGTTCCTCTTAATGCAGCATGAAGGGCACTTGTATTGCTTAATGGTCTCAGCTTTGGCAGGGGTTATTTTCACGCACTTGCCATGGAACCATCTCTCGCAGATGTCACAGCCGATCCAGAATTCATCAGCGTTGTAGTTTCCACCACAGCTTCCGCAAAGTGTATCCATGTGTTCATCTTCATCAACATGGTAGTTTTCATGTTTGGGGTTGCTTCTCACTTGCCCGTCGCTAGATCTCTACACAAAATTTAAGAATGGTAAATGAGGCTTGGAGCCAATCAACTTTCAGGAATTGAGAGTAGGGACTTCACTAGACCAGCATCATAGTGACATACAAGATTATAGCTTGCAAGAGCCACAGTCAAGAAATGTTCCGATAGCCACCTTAGTCTAAAAGAAAATGAGGCTAGCATTGCAGCACAAAATCAAACCTTAGTGCTGCCTCGAGATTTGCTTCCACTATCGATACTGGGCTTTTCTCTGGGCTTCCTGTCTGTTACAACTTCAAAGACAGTAGGGAGATCATTGATCATGCTGAAAAGTCGTTTCCTGTGAAATCACAGTTAACTTCAGTTCTGTGTAAACCATGCTCCATTATACATCCGAACAGGCATCAAACAAGCAATCAAAGCAATAAGCAACCAAACTGAGTTAAGGAGGCTAATTGATCCATAGTGCCAAGTTACTAACAACTCCAACAGCATATCAAAGCAAACAAGGACGGGCTGAAAGTTAACATCGCTTAGAGTAGAATTGACAGTGAAGGTGGTAAAAATGGAAGGGAGGTACTGTCATGAAGCATAGACCCGACGAGTTTTAGGAAAGAAAATCATCCGGATGCTCAGCCACTTCAGCTCAAAATAAACAAACACAAGTCTGATATAGAATCACTCAATTCTGTAGAGCAACTTAAATCATCACCAGTTAAATATAAACTAGGTAAATGTCCAGCAAATTGTTATGAAAATGACGATACAGCCCAGTAAACTCCTTACGAACAATGGGGTTTAACTTTGGATACTCGCATTTGCAAATTAGTCGTATACCTAAAATGAATAGTGCTTGGATTGAGTCGCAAGAAGGAAACAATCCCAGAAAATCCAGTTGCCAGGAAGTGCAAAAGCAATCACTACCAACAGGCTCAGTCAAGAAAAAAGGGGCACCTGTCGTTCCTATTAAGACGAGCTCCGAGGTAGAAAGCCACAGAGAGCAGCCAAGAATCACCGTGAACAGCAATGAGGGAAAGCCAGTCCTTGCGGGTCATGCCATCTCTAGCAAAATTGATACCAAGAACAGGTTCAGGTAGCTCCGGTGGCACTTCATCCGCCGGTAGTGTTACCTCCCACCTCTCGTTTGGATGTCCATACAGACACAGGTTCTCCTTTTCTGCATACATACACTCACATCACCCCTACTAATCATACACTGTTGAATCATACGCTGCCCATACATAGTAATGTAAGATACAGAAGAAAGACAAAAACTAAACGGTGATTTTCAGCAAGTCAATTTAGGTTAATTTTTTTAACTCAAACACCGCAGATCGAAACGTGTACAGTGAGCTCTCAGCTTGACAACTTTTCCACTCAGTTTTCCCGAGAACCAAACTTATATGAAAACAAGGAAACAGGGAGAAAGAAAAAGAGAAAATTCCCGATCTGGATTTTACCTGGATCGCATTGTGCGTAGAATTCATCCGAATCTGAGAAGAAAAATCAGAATAACAAGGCATGATGAACAATCATTCAACAGAGGTAAAGACCTGAGAAACACGAGGAGAAGTTGAGAAAGGTATGTTGGAGAAGGGTACCATCAGTTAAGGCACGAACAAGGCCGGCTCTTCGAGCAGTGTAATCTTTGAAGATCTCCTCTACGGTCCGCGCAGTGACGGCCATGACCATGGACAAAGACGACGACGAACGGAGATTGAGAATTCCGACGCTAGAGCTGAAAACGGTAGGAAATGCAGGGTGGGTAACAGTAGAAACCGCACGGGACAACCATGGGTTCGTCTGATGGATTGGATCGAACGGAGCACCAAACGTAAGACAACCCCAACGGAAAGTGGAAAAACAAAGTACACGGGTTGCAAATGACTGAGCCAAACTCTCACGAGCGGCTTTATGTACGGTTCGGGAAAAACTCGCTCAAAAGTCAAAACGGATTCATTTACTAACGAGTTAAATTTGAGCTAAACTTTGTTAACCTTGTGAACTCTCGCGAGCAACTTAATGTTCGGTTTGGAAAAAAGTCACGCGAAACAGACTCGTTTACTAACGAGCCAAATTTGAGCTAAGATTTGTTAAGCTTGCGAGCTAGCTTGACTCGTTGGTTTGTTGAGTTTAACTCGTGAGCTGGCTCAGTTAGAGCTCATGAGATGTCTTAGCATTAGTGGTTAGAGTACCAACTCGATTACCAACCTATGAGCGAATCAATCTTATATCTTATGAGTTGAACTTTGATAATTCATATGATTATTAAATTATATATCTCACCCTAGATGAAGTTTAACACATTGAGTATGTGAGCAAATATGTCTTATTTTTAATTTTATAAAGAAATTATGTATTGTAGATTGATTCGATTATATAAAATAACATGATTTATAGTATTTAAAATTTATTATCTAAATTATATGATACTAACATATTATAAGATTGGATTATTTTATGTTGACCATGTTACTATCATTTTCTTTTTTCATCATTACATTAAAACAAGCCTAATTCGAGCTCGACTCGGCTTGTTAATAAACGAGGTTGACTCAAACTGGACTCGTTTATTCACTAGTCGAGCTCAAAGTAGGGCAAAACTCAGCTCGACTTATTTACAGTCCTACATAGAAGAGATAAAAGAGATAGAGAAGAAATTAGTAAATTACAGAATAGCCTTTTGCTATTGGCGAGGCCCTCCATTGGCTTGTCCCAGCTCTCAAACTTATCAAAAAAATCATGTCTTCTTAGTATCCACATCAATGCAATTGGACATGCAATTATATTTGTGTTCTTTAGTGATATCATAATTTTTTTTGCAATCCAATTTATATTATTTTCATTTTACCCACATCAATGCAATCTACTTATAAGACCATCCATATTAATGCAATTGCAAAAGCAATTGCATTGTGCTCTTTATTGCCAACTAAAAAAAAATAAAAATGGCAGTCCATGTCACTTTAATTTCATTCACCTACATGACTACATCAACGCAATTAACTTGCAAATGCATATGTGAGCCAAAATTATTTTGTTGATAAAACAAAAGGTGTATATGTTTATTGATAAAAAAGAAGAAGAAAAAACAAATAAATGAGTGAGAAATTGCAAATGGAATTGCATTTTATGATAGCTTGCATAAATGCAGTGAAGACTTTCATCCATGAAAATACAAATGCAATTGCATTTGCATTGCCACATCACTTTGCAATTCAATATGAAAGGTTGTTGTGGATGCACTAATTGCACTAATTGCAATTCAATAAAAAAAATAATGATAAAAAATTATGTGGCTTGCAATCCATATTTTAGGCTGGATATTATGTTCGGTTTTACCAATCGAAAAGAACTATATTCAAAACCGAACAAATCGAGTCGAAGGAGGCAGGTCGGAATTCAGTTAGTGACAGGCTAAAACACAACATCAAACTACGACCAAGTGTAATCGCAGTCCGGAAATGCAATAAGAGGCAAGCTCTATTTGTCAACCCGGGGCCTAGATCTAATGCCTACTCTGTGATTATTTATTATCTACCTAGCTAAGTCGAGTGATTGTGGTTTTAACTAAAAGTAGTAAGAAAGCAGGAAATGGTTCGGTTTTCTAAAGCAAGGGAAGAGTCACTCGGGAATGAGTCCCCTAGCTCCTTAGTTAGGTTACAGTTTTAATTACTTTTGGTTGCTTTACTGTTGATTATACTGCGGAAGATCCGACAGTAGCTTGGAATCTCTTAATCTGACCAAGCCCTCTCATTCAAACTACCCGGCAGACGACTAGTCTTCAGCGGGATAGAAAGCTGAGGCTATGAACACAGAACTCCACTACTGGAACTGATTCCAGTACAAAGCAGTGAATTGATTAACTCTCATATAATCGATTCACTACTATCGATTGAAGAAGCTCTAATAACCTAATCAGAGTCTATCTATCTCAGGTTGCAGCAGAAATCAAAAAAAGATGATCAGGCTTCAATTGACTCAATCAACACACTTCAATCGATTATAATCCAACAATATCACAATCCAAACGTCGTTACAACAATGATTCCTAACACATAGAACTAGGGTTCTTCATACCCAAGTGAGAGAAGGTTCTACTCCATAGAGAGAGAGAGGAAAACAGCAAACAAAGCAGTCATACTCATCAAGATGGGAAGAATCTGCTCTGGGATGATGATCTTTACTCCAAGGATGATTTCCGAGCTTGATTGATGAAACCCAACTCCAAAACCACTCTTAGGGGGTGTTCTTTGCACTTTCTCTCTCTATGGCTATTTTTCTGCTCCATAAATCGATTCCCTCTCCTTTGGCTCAAAATTTGGTAAAATCCATAATTTCCCGACCACACGGCCAGGCCACACGGTCGTGTGGCTTTCCAGTCAGCCCGTGTCAGTGTCAAAACGCCGCGTTTCACTTAGTGCTCTTCAGGCACGTTGCACGGCCAGAAGCACACGGCCGTGTGGATTTCAAGTCTGTCCGTGTGAGCTCCCTGGACTTCCCACACGACCACAAGGGGTCCAATACACGTCCAGTGTGGCTTGGCCGCGTAATGGGATTCCACACGGCCACACCACACGACCGTGTGGCTGCTAGGTCTGGCCGTGTGGATTCCTCAACTCCTTGCCAGACGTCCAACTTTCGTCGAATCGACCCGAAACTCGCTCCCAAACCTCCAATCATGTGATAGGACCTGAAATAACACAAACGAGAACAACCTAGGGTGAAATCAGCCTAAGATACGAGAAATGAGGCTCAAACGGCATAAGAATGGTGGATAAAGCATGTGTATAAATCAAGTCATCAAATTCCCCCACACTTAACCGTTTGCTTGTCCCAAAGCAAACCAAGTCAGATACAAGGTAAGCTAAACACATCTTAATCATTCAACCCTTGGGGACATATCATATCGGCACAAAAACACGTGAATAAAACTGGCATTTGATCATTGACATCTGGACAACTGAATAGCAACCTTGAAAACCACCACAGAGGACATTCGAGTGCAGCAAAATCGGGTAAAGGAAGACGAATCCTTTCTGTTCACCAACCAACATAGACTTGACTCAAACACTTGACCAAGATAGTCATTGCATGCATCAACCTCAATACATTAGAATCAAGACCGAGCCATCTAGGTCCTCACCGGGGTAAAGAGCATAAAGAAAAAGGAAATGAATTGCTCATTCTCGACCAGTGGGGTCAGGACACTTTGATGCGAAAAATGCGCATGCTTATTCTCTCAAATCCTAACGCCTCTTCACCATGATGACAGCCTCTAAATGTTAGAGTTCACACAAGGGATGTCACCACTAACTAATCCGGAGGTCTTAGACACAGGTTCAAGTGACTGGCTAGGGGTCTTGGACATGGGGAAAAAGCCTTTTAGGCGGTGTAAGTATTCATAGAACAACGTTCCAAAGTTCCAAACCCAACACATTCACAACCAATCAAACCAGTAACTTTCTTTCTGGCCATTCTGCATTACTCAAATTCTTTAGAGCACAAGAGCGAAGGAGGTCACAAAAATGTTAGTATTACCTACAACCTCTGCACATTTTTCAAATACATGCCCAATTTTTAAGCATTACCTACAACCCTCACATTATATTTAGCAGAAACAGCAGTTAACATGCAAAAACCACACTGTGGAACCTTCTAAGAGATTCAAAAGGGTGATTTTCCATCGTAGACCGAAAGAAAGGAAAGTACACGACTCAAAGGGGCTGACTAGGGGGATGACACACCAGGATAGTCAATTTGGTTGTGGGCTAATCCTATGCCTCCATCATCTTAGCTAGTGACAATGTGAATGCTACACATCATGGAAGAGGGATCTATCGAACAAGAAAGAAACGAGCAGGCTCAAATCTCACATGGCTACCTATACGCTCTATCTCTCATTCTGATTCCCTGAACTAGATGCATAAATGACTGTTAAGAGCAAGTGATCAATTCAAGTCATAGTTGGTAAGCAAACAGTAGAAAAACTGAACCCCTACACAATCCTACTGCATGTCTCAGTCATCATCATAGGTTGTCCTAGTTACAATCAAGTTGTCATGCATTAGTTTGAAAGCCATTCGAGTCGCCAATCAAATCCACAGTGCCAATTTGATCATGCAAACCTCAGTACTTGAGCCCTCAAATCTCAAGATTTGGACAGAGGACTAGGCTCCAAGCACACATAAATAGATTCCAACCAATACAAAGTCCCCCCCCCCACACACACACACACTTAATTTCGACATTGCTCTCAATGGAGCAGAGGAAAGGATAAGGGGAACGATGTTACCGGATGGAAAGATAGCCGGGGGACGGGAAATGGGACCAGTCAGTAGGGCTAGCGTCAGCAAAACACACTGGGTGATAAAAACCATAGTTCCAAGTAGACAAACCAAAAAAAAACGAAAGAAAAACAAACCTTGGTGGGGTTGCCTCCACACAAGCGCTTCTTTACCGTCTTTTAGGTGGACATCAGTAGGGTGGATACTCAAAGAGGTGAAGGAACAGGTGCCTCCAAGAGTGGATCCACATCGCTCTTGAGGTACAACTTCAGATGGTGGCCATGCACACGACGGGTGTGACCACTAGCACTCGTCAACTCAACCTGGCCATCCGGCAGGATGCAAGCGAGTGAATACTCGGATGGCCAAGGCGGTCGAGGCTCAGGAGGCGGGACCAGATCATAGTCGTCTCCGTCTTTCGTTTGAACAGGCTTAGCTACCTGCAGTTTCGGCCGCCACTCCTCCTTGACCTTTTCTTTTGGTAACGGAGTAGACGAGAGTGGTGGCGAAGACATGGAAGGGGGATCCTGCAAAATGGGAAGCACAGAAGGATACACGACAGACTCGTGATCCTGGTGAGAAACAGCATGCAAAGGAGATGAAGCAGGGAGAGCATTAGCAATGGAAAATGTTATTGGCTCCTCGCCATCCCTCAAGACTAAGGTCCCATCATGTACATCTATGAGAGCCTTGGCGGTGGCCAGAAAAGGCCTTCCCAATATAAGGGGCACTTCTGTGTCTTCATTGATGTCCAAGACAACAAAATCCACATGATAAAAGAATCTGCCAACCTTAACTAGAAGGTCCTCCACTATGACCCTAGGATGAACTATAGATCGGTCAGCTAATTGAATAATCATCCTAGTTGCACTGGGTTCACCTAAGCCTAGTTTCTTGAATAATTTATATGACATAACATTGATTCTAGCACCTAGATCCGCCAAGGACCTCTCTACATGCAATTTACCTATAGAGCACGGGATAGTAAAACTACCTGGGTCCTTCTGCTTCTGCGGGAGCTTGTTCTGCA